GCCCGTCGATGGTGACATTTGAGACTCCGATGGATTCATAGATTGCGTCTGCCTTTGATCTCCATTCGGGTGTGAGGCTTCGCAGGATTTTCCTCACGAGATCCCTGTTGGTGTACGTCTTCTTGAGAGCGTGAAGGTCGTTGATGATTTTTGAAAACCGATCGAACATGTCATCGATCTTTTCTCCTTCCTTCATCCTAAACATCTCGTACTCCTGCGTTAGGAAGTCAATTTTGGCTTCCTGAACTTGGTCCGTACCTTCATATGTGACCTCTAGCTTGTCCCACATTTCTTTGGCAGTGGTGCAGCAAGAAATGTTACGATAATCATCAGGATTGACGGCACAGTACAACATATTGATAGCCTTGGCGTAGTTCTCCACCTTTTTGATGTCTTCGGCATCAAATTCGTCCTCGGTCTTTGGGACGAGTTTTTCATCGACCTTCTTCATTGGGGTTTCCTCGCCATTCTTGATGACCAACCACAACTGAAAGTTGGTTGAGCGGATATAAATTCTCATCCGCTCTTTCCAATATGTGTAGTTGGTGCCATCAAAGAGCGGTGGCCTCGAGGTTGATTGACCTTCTCCAATTCTTGCATAAAGATTTCTAGAAGAAGAACCCATGATCGCTTTACTCTCAAACGGTTAAGTTTGGACGCGAGTTAGGCTCCGATACCAATTGTTAGAATAATAGACCAACGCTAGAGGGGGGGTGAATAGCGTTTGATCGGAGAAATCGCAGGAATTTAAAAATTAAAAGAGAAGTAAAGAGAAGAGTAAAAGGCACACCGAATTTTACCCTGGTTCACCACAACTTGTGGCTAGTCCAGCCTCCCGAGAGACTCTCTCGAGCTACACTGCTATCTCGTTAAGCTTGCGGGTGCTTAACAAACCGTTACAACTTGAGAGTTCGAGTCACACGAACCTCAACGAATCCTTCAAAGGAAACAGACCTTCCTTTGAATCAACGAGAGAAATACTTTCTCTCAACGTGTCTAAGAACACAAGTACACTCAAGAACGAGACTCTCTTGTAGAGTAGATTATGAGTAAACTAAGT